GGTACCACTGTACATTAAAAAGTGGATACTATACACCCTGGTTTGAAATGTTGTAGGTTTCTTTTAAAACAATGCACTTGTCTAGGTACCTATGTCAGTGTTTCAAAAGCTTCATAAGGGTATGTTTCAGATGCAGTGTGAAAGAAGAATGTCTATTATCCTGAGGGATGCACGTATATTGAGCAACCAAAATACACATTAGAGACAAACTCTCAAATAAAGCCTTTTCTTTGTAAAAATTCTCAATGAGTTGAAAATTGGGTGTTCAGCAATAGAGATCATTGGAATCTTCCTTTAATAAATGCTGATGCCTCTGAGCTTATGTTATTATTTATTTATTTAAAAGATTAAAAGACTGCTTATCATCAAATCATTCATTTTTAAAATGCAACATTAAAATATTTCCAATCTCATAGAATGATAATATTTTAAGCACATTCTATTTGATACAAGCATTACAGAAAAGACCTTCATGTAATAAAAGCTGCAATAAAACTTGGGTGGATTGAATATATTTGATTTAGTAATGTTTTCAAGTTAATAGAAATATAGTATTATTTCTTACTGCAATTAACAGGAAGTAAAATTAACTCTATTGCCACTATACCACTATTACCACTATCATCATCATCATCATCATCATCATCATCATCATCATCATCATCATCATCATCATCATCCTATACTTTTCCTATGTGGAGCAGATTATGATAAAAGAGAGAGGGAGGGTAGGTGGGGGAATATTTGACACTAAACCCATAATTTATAAATTCACCATGTCTGCCTCATATGGCAATTTAGGCAGGATAAGGACACAGATGATGAGGATTATATGAATATTTAAGGTAGACTTTACCGTTCCCATTTTCTCCAGGAGTATTCATATATAGTAAATATACAAACCATAATTTAAAAGCATTTTTCTCTAAACTAGTTTTGGATTTCAAATTCACCTGTTAAAGGAACTAATTTCCTGACCTGAAACTAGGCATTGAATGGTGGATGCACCCTGGAGGTAGAATGGTACCACTGAACTCTTGCTGTCTATTAGCCTCCTTGAAAGGGGATCTGACTGGGTTCAATTTCATCCCCATTGGTGTATGAGTATGAAAAGGCTACCTTTTGGAATAAGTAATAAACATGGACTAATGTTAGTTACATTACGCAGGAATGGAGACAGAACTCGGAGTAATTATAGGCTGAATGTATGCCTCCCCCATCCCATGCTTACTATTATGAGTGTAGGATTTTATTTATTTAGAGAGTGCTATTTATGTATTAAAATCAACTGTTTTATACCATTATTGAGGAAACATTTCTCCAATCCTTCAAATTTTAAGATTTATTGGTCATTATGGATAGTTTCTCATTTTTCTTGGCCAATGTTTAATGTTAGGTACATTAAGTTATTACTGTCAGTAATATACAGTACAGGGAGATTAGAGGAAGGACAGTATTCATTTTCTATCAGTTTCTTATTTGGCTCTTCAGAATTTTGTGACGTCAAAAATACACATAAATATGAATATTTATTTTCTTCTAAGTCATCTCCTAATATATTTGAGGGACCACTTCTCCCCAGTGATTGGTTTGGCTCTAGGAGGAAGTCTTTTTCACCAACATTGTGGAACCTTCTCCCCTCAGTTATGAGATCAGGATCATCACTCCTGAGTTTTCAAAGGCCCCTCAAGACCTGGTTAGGTCAGCAGGCCTGGGGATCCCAGGCAACAAGTAAACTAGTGAGGTGGCTCTATTATTAACATCCCTTTGTCTATTATTTTCCTTTTCTGATTTAGTTCTGTTTTTATAGTTTTTAATGTTTTTAATAATATTATATCATGGTTTTATGTAAAGATGGCTTATGTATTTATTGTTTTATTGGATTGTTGTATGTCACCCAGAGTCACTTTTTGTGAGATGGGCAGCCATATAAATTTCATTAATAAATAAATAATAAATAAATATACAGTGTGGTATCTCCTAATATATACATTTTGCAAACAGTCAATCCTGGGAGGGAGGG